CATAGAATTAAATACGCAGTTTCGAACGCATGCAACAAACGATTTTGAGAAAATTTATACAAATTAATGAACAACGTGGTATTCGGCAAAACAATGGAAAATGTTCGTAATCACGTCGATGTAAAACTTTTGACAAAATGGGATGGACGATACGGTGCAGAGGCAATGGTCGCAATGTCAAGTTTTCATAGCAGGAGCATCTTTTCAGAAAATTTAATTGCCGTTGAATTGCGAAAACTCGAAGTGAAGTTCAACAAGCCGATCTATGTGGGTATGTGTATTCTCGACATATCTAAGATCTGCTTGTGAAATGAATTTCACCAGTACATCTCACGAGATCGCGAGAAATATAAAGCACTGTATACTGACACAGATAGTTTAATTTACCATATAATGTCCGACGATGTATGAGCTAATGAAACGTGACATTGCAAGGTTTGATACGAGCGATTATTCTCACAATAACATATTGGGTCTGGGAAAAAGTTCGTGGCATTTCTTTAGTAAAATTCAACTGGTTTTCTTATAGTGTGAAAATGAATTTATTTAAACCAAATATGCTCCATTATTATCGACAATGTTTCGCCATTTTTCGGGTAGAATCATGATGCCATCAGTGAAGAACTTCTGTGGTTTCTGGTTGAAAAACTGAATCAAGTGGTTCTCACAGGCTTCTTTTGAAACCAGCTTAATTCCATTGAGAGAGTTCTGCAGAGATCGGAACAAGTGATAGTCAGAGGGTGCTATGTTTGGACTATACGGTGGATGCATCAAAACTTCCCAACCAAGCTCTCGCAATTTTTGACGGGTTATCAAAGAAGTGTGTGGTCGGACATTGTCATGATGGAAGACAACACCTTTCCTATTATTCAATTCGGGCCGTTTTCATTCAATTGCCTGGCGTAATCTCTCTAGTTGTCCACAGTAGAGTTGAGAATCAATCGTCTGACCAACTGGAAGTAGCTCATGGTGGACGATTCCCTTCCAGTCCCACCACATACACAGCATCACCTTTTTCGGCGTCAATCCTGGCTTCGCGAACGCTTGTGATGGTTCACCATCCCTTGTCCACGATCTTTGACGCTTCCGATTGTCGTACGTGATTCATTTTTCATCACCGGTTATGACACGTTTCAGAAATGGCTTGATTTCATTGTGTTTCAGCAGCGCATCGCAGATGTTAATTCGGTCTATCATGTTTTTCACGCTCAACTCATGAGGAACCCATACATCGAGCTTGTTTTTGTAGCCAACTTTGTGTAAATGATTCAAAACAGTTTTGTAATCAATGCCTAGCTCCATACCAATATCGACACTGCTGATATGCTTATCTTGCTGGACTTTTTCAAGAATTTCATCAGCTTTTTCAGTGATTGGACGACCAGAGCGTGACTCATCTTTCGCATCAAAATTACCAGAACAAAAGCGAGCGAACCATTTCCGCACAGCAGATTTTGATAAAGCACCTTCACCGTACACAGCACAAATTTTTTCACAAGCCTGCGTAGCGTTCTTCCCTTTGTCGTAATAATATTGCAAAATATAGCGCAATTTTTCATTACTTTTCTCCATTTTCAAACGCAAACAACTTTCCAACCACTGCACCAATTTCGATGTTTATATACTCAAAGTAACGAACGAAGCGTCACCTTTCCTACGAGCGTTTAGTGGTGTCGCTGCGATCTGTGTTTCCTGAGTTATTTGCAATTGACGCCATCTATCGGGAAAAACGCCACGAAATTTTCCTAGACCCAATATACGGTATGCCGCTTAAGAACAAAAAAATTCCAGAGCTTATGAAAGATGAAAATAACGGAGCTATAATGACAGAATTCGTCGGGCTCAGAGCAAAAATGTATGCGCTGAAAATAGAAGGTACAAAGGGCGAAGGATGTTAAGAGGAATATTATAGCGCGAACAATCAATTTTGATGATTACACGTATTATTTGAGAGAGAAAATTGAAACGAGTCGGCGTCAATCGTACATAAGATCCAAGTTGCATGAGGTATACCAGGTGTGTCGGTAATTCCTTTCCGGTTTTTTCGCTAAAGAAAACACGTTATTTACAATGGATAGTTAAAATATATTTATTCAAAGTATTGGCCATTTGATTCTATACATTTTGCCCATCTCTCAGGCAATTTATGGATGCCATTCCAAAAGAACTGTTTCTCCTTTGAGCTAAACCATTCATCGAGCCATTTTTTAACTTCTTCGAAATCGGCGAAGTACTGCTCTGCAAGCGCGTGCCCCATCGATGCGAAAAGGTGATAGTTGGATGGAGCCAGGTCTGGAGAGTACGGCGGGTGCGATAAAACTTCCCATCCAAGTGATTTCAACACTTCTTTGACTGGTTTTGCTGTATGAGACGGCGCGTTGTCATGCTGCAAAATCACCTTATCATGTCTTTGAGCGTATTGTGGACGTTTTTCGATCAATGCGCAGTTCAAATTGATCATTTGTTGTTGGTAGCGATCAGTATTAACTGTTTCTCCAGGTTTCAACAGTTCATAATATACGACACCAACCTGGTCCCACCAGACACAGAGCATGGTCTTGCGACCAAAGCGATTTGGCCTTGCAGTCGATGGGCCGCCTTCGCCAGGTGATAACCATGATTTTTTTCGCTTGGGATTTTCGAAATAAATCCATTTTTCATCACCCGTTACTATTCGATGCAGAAATGACTTCCTTTCATACCTTTGAAGCAGCATTTCACTGACGATTTTTCGATTTTCCAATTGCCTGTCATTCAATTCATGTGGCACCCATCTTCCCATCTTTTGGATCTTTCCCATCGCTTGTAATCGTTCACAAATTGCTACTCGGCTCACATTCAACTTTTCTGCCAATTGTTTTTGAGTTTGTGTTGGGTCTTCATCCAATAACTCCTGCAATTCCGCATCTTCAAACGTTTTCGGCCTACCAGGACGTTTTTTGTCTTGAACGTTGAAATCACCACATTTGAATTGTCGAAACCACATTTCACATGTTCATATGGTTGGAGCATGCTCACCGTAAGTCTCTACCAGCAAACGATGACTTTCAGCGGCTTTTTTCTTTTGATTAAACAAGAATGCGTGCCGCAAATGCACGTTTTCAGGCACAAAACTCGACATTTTCAAAAAATTATTAATCTATAACGCTGTTATTTTGGCGGAACGTAACTTGTGTAGTTTTGAGGTTAATGTCAGTAGAATAAAATGACATATGCACCAAATCATAACATTGCATGACACTTATGGCTAGTGACATCTGTTACAAAAACCGGAAAGTAATTACCGACATACCTGGTAAATTATCCAACGAGGGTCGTACACTTGCCGTCGAAAACTTGTCTCGTTCTAATCGTCTATCCACATCAAATACCGACGAAAACGAAAATAAAATATTGAAGAAATTAGTGCTTGAAAATTGTCGTGTGAGTGAAAGAGAGATTGCTGTTGAGCTTAAGGGGATGCTGAACGTGAAAACTTTATCGACGGAGAACCATCAAAATTACATTTTTTCTGCAAAGTTTACGTTGTTTTAAATGCTTCAGAATTAAATATACTTTTACATGATGAAAGTACGTACGAAAATTAATTGAAATATCACTCAATATATGACGAAAGCGATAAAAAATTTTTAAAATAAAATTTCCAATTGATAGTTAACGTAATATTTACCTAATACAAAAGTTTTGCAGTTTGTATTGGGTGTGTGAATATGACTCCGCCCTTTTTTGTTAAAATAAAACACATTTGCTTGTTTAGAAAATTAAAGAAAAGTTTATTGAAAGTATGCTCCATCTGCAGCTACAACCTTCGCCCATCTTTCAGGTAATTTATGTATTTCTTGCCTGAAGAAGTCCTGGTCTTTTGAGCTGATCCAATTATCAAGCCAAAGTTTGATACTTTCGTATGAAGTGAACCGTTCTCCCGTAAGATCTGACTGCATCGTCCGGAATAAGTAGTAATCTGAAGGAGCTATGTCTGGCGAATATGGCGGGTGGAGTAGCACTTCCCAGTCCTGTCCATCTAAATATCTTTTCACGATTTCTACGGTATGCGGTTTGGCATTATCATGCTGAAGAATTAATTTGCTGTGCCTATTCACCCATTCTGGCCGTTTTTCTTCTATGGCTCGCTTCAAACGCATTAGTTGTCGTCGGTAAACTTCTCCTTTAATAGTTTGGCAACAATCCTGTGTCAATAATGCTTCCAATTCAGCATCTTCAAATTTTTTTGGTGGTTTCCCATGTTCTCTGTCCTCAGTTCCAAAATCATTAATTTGAAATCGTCGAAACTATTCCTTACAAGTTGTATTAGATGGAGCATGATCACCGTAAATCTCCACAAACAAACGATAAGTTTCCGCTGCACTTTTCTTTGCAATAAAATAGTGTAATAATACTTCCCGCAAATGATGTTTATTTGGAACGAAAACCGACATTTTCAAGTAGGGTAAAACACTTGTTGCTTACACTTAAACCAAATTTCACGTAGTGCGTTTGAAAGTTGACATGAAGTACTATCGAATACAAGTGTTGCCAGTTATTAGTACACGTTAACAATACTAAAAGCAACATCTGTTGGGAAAGGGCGGAGTCATATTCACACCCAATATGTACCGAAACTCTGGATGCTCCAATGAGAAAAAATTTACAAATCATTTCTAACAACTCAAAATTTAGGTAGGAAACCTAAAACGATACGAAAACTTTGTAGAAAAATTTTTAATATCTACGGCTGGGTTTTCCGATAAATATGATAATGCAGAGCAGAAAAATAGTTCACGACTGTTCTCATAGACAACGCTGCAATTTTCCCGCAGATGTAATAACGAATAATCCGAATGTATCCATAAGTATATACAGGGTACGGCGCCAAAATCCGGACAAATTAAACATTTTTTTGAAACATAATTTTTATTGCAAAACTGGAGAAGTTTATAATTATTTTTTTTACTAAATTGTTTATTAGGTCATAAAGAACATATTTACTCAATATAACCCCCTTCTACTTGAATGACCGCCTCCATTCTCCATTTGAAGCGTTTGCAGGCTCTTTTAATGAGTCACGGTCTATATCGGCGAATGCCGCTTCAATAGCGGCTCTCAATGATGCGACGTTTGGATGTCTGGACTTGTTAGTGACCCTTTCAACCACGCTCCATACATAGAAGTCCAAAAGATTTAAATCTGGGCTGTTGGGAGGCCAAAATTCTTTGGACCAAAACATGTCCACGTTGTCCGACAACCAATTTTGCACCAAATGATTTGTGTACGCGGCGCACTGTTCTGCTGGAAAACATACAGCTTTCCAGACGATACAGTTTCTATCCACGGCTTCACCACATTTATCAGAACATGCAAATAAACTTCTTTCGTAACATTTCCCCCTTTGTTAAAGGAATGCGGTGGCATGACATCACCCTCACTGGACGTAACACTTAGCACGTGAACATTTGCTGGGAATTTCGTTCTGGAAACAATGGGGACATCTTCAGGATTATGGGCGAGCCAGCGATCATTCCTTCGATTGATTTTCGCATCGACAGTAAAAATTTTTTCGTCAGAAAAAAACCTTAGGCGCCCGGCAGCATTGTTTCATAAAGAATACAAAAGCAGGTTACAGCGCTCAACTCACTTTGTCCTGCCAACTTCGGAAAGCATCTGTCTCACTTTAATTGTATGAGACTTGTAGCGGAGGTCCTCCTCGACGATTCGACGTATAGTTTTTTCACTCACACCGACAACCGACAACAATTTTCGAATCGATTGCCCTGGATCCACAAAAATTAGCTCCTGAGCCCGTTGAATGATTTCGGGCGTCCTGACAACGCGCTCCTTCGAATGAGTTTTCCTTGCCGGTGTTGCAAAACCTTCGTTGGACTTCTCCGACTCGTTATACTTCGCGACGACATCATACACAGCCGATCTTGGGTAAATGAAGAATCGAATGATTTCTGTCGCTGAGCGCCCAGCGCGAACACTTTCGATAATCGCAGCTCTTCGATTATACTCCGCACTTGGTTTCAAAATTGTGACTGTTTCGAGGTTATGAATATAGTACATGAATGAATTTAATATATGCGTCAAGCTATTTGGACGCCAATCGCGACCTCTCGAAGTGGTATAGAACGGCGGGAAATTCAAATTGAATTTTGTCCGGATTTTGGTGCCGCACCCTGTATACAGGGTGTTTGATAGCTGATCATGCAGACGAAAGTTGGAGATAGATTGGTTGTAGTCGAGAAGAAAAGTCATGTACCATACTGTCAAATTGACAATAGTTACCGAGTTATTAATTAAAACATGTGAGCCAACGAGCGCGTAGAGAGCGGAGGGCATCGACTTCCTTCTGCCAAGTTTACGTCGCACTGGCTGCACGGAATTGAAAACGTTTTCGTATAATGAATATTCATGCTTTGGCAGGAATTTATTTTGATAAAGCGGAGTAATCCAAGTCATCCGAGAAAAAGGAATTGAAAACGCTTTCGTATAATGAATATTCTTGCTTTGGCAGGAATTTATTTTGATAAAGCGGAGTAATCCAAGTCATCCGAGAAAAAGAATGGGAAACTATTGCGAATAGGACACCGACTTCCTTCTGCCAAGTTTACGTCGCACTGGAAGTACGAGTAGTTAAATAAGGCGGGTTCTAAGTCACTTTTTAATTAAATTTCAAAAGCCTGACCTTTTTAATGAAATATTTTCAAACCTGACTTTTTTAATGAAATATTAGGTGTACAAATGAATAATCCAAATTATTTTAAGCAGTTATGAAATCAATTTTAAATTGAATAGATTTTCCCGCTCTTTTGTGATTATGCAATGTTGACATATAGCTATTAAAAAGAACATAGTTTGGCGGAAGGTCCAACATAACCTCCAAAAGTATTCAGTTCAGTACAGTCGAAAATGGCAACAGATAAGGTGCATATCCGACACTGCATTCTTTACGAATTCCAACAAGGAAAAAAATGCGAAAAGAGCGTGCGAATCGATTAGTTCCTTTCTCGGCGAAGGTGTTGTATCGTACGATATGTGCGCATTTTGGTTTAAGCGGTTTAAAAGCGGTTTAAAAAATTTCAGTCTAATCGACAACGCCCTGGAAGCCCTCCGAAGTGCGATAATGATGATTTGGAACAACTGCTCGCTGAGAATTCGGCACAAATACAAAAAGAGCTTGCAAAACAGTTGAGAGTAACGCAGCAAACGATTTCCGAACGCCTACATGAGATGGGAAAGATCCAGAAAGAAGGAAAATGGGTTCCGGATGATCTCACTGAAACCAACAAAAATCAACGAGTGGCAGCGTGTCTTTCTCTTCTCAATAAGCAGCGTCGAAAGTCTTTCTTGTGGAAAATCGTTACGGGCGATGAGAAATGGATATTCTATGACAATCCGAAACGCAGGAAGTCATGGGTAAATCCCGGCGAATCATCAAAATCAGTCGCAAAACACAATTGCTTCGGAAAGAAGGTTCTTCTCTGCATTTGGTGGGATATCAAGGGCATGCTTTATTATGAGTTGTTGGAACCGGGTGAAACAGTTACTGCGGACTGCTACCAACGTTAATTAATCTGCTTGAGTCAAGAATTGGAACGAAAACGCCCGTATACTGGCAAAAGAGAACGTCCAGTGAAATTGTTGCATGACAACGCCAGGTCATACATTGCTTCCAATACGAAAGACACCATAATGAGTCTTGGCTGGGACGTCTTGCAACACCCGGCGTATTCACCAGACATTGCTTCATCCGATTATCAATTGTTCCAGTCGATGCAACACGCCTTGTCCGATATGCACTTCCAATCAGTGGATGAGATCCGGATATGGCTTGACGACTTTATCGTGTCTAAAGACGTAACATTTTTCCGAGATGGAATTCATCAGCTGCCTGAAAGATGGCTTAAAGTTATAGAAAGCAACGGCGAATACTTTGATTGAACAATTTAATTCACTTTCTTTTAAAATAAACTCTGAATGTAGCTGAAAAAATTGGATTATTCATTTGTACACCTAATATTTCCAAACCTGACCTTTTTAATAAAATATTTTCAAACCTGACTTTATTAATGAAATATTTTAATTAATACCCTCCTCTCTTTATTGATACCCTCTCCCTATTGATTATTGATAACCCCTCCTTCCTCCCCAGAATTGTTTGATTCTATGGGCAAGATGGCGGGCGATCGTGACGTCACGCACATGTCTAGAGAAAAATGTGCCGGGATGTACTAGGTGCGCAACTAAGTTTCCGGGTTTTTTTGATCAATGAAAAATGGAAAATTTCAAGAGAAATACAAAAGATGGTTTATTCAAAGTATCGTCCCTTGCTAGCTACACATTTTTGCCATCTCTCTGGCAATACATGAATACCGCGACGATAAAATGATGCGTCTTTGGGCCGAAACCATTCATCCAACCAATTTTGCACTTCTTTGAAATTGGCCAAGTGTTGTCCAGCCAAGCCATGCGCCATCGATCGGACCAAGTGATAATCGGAAGGGGCCAGGTCTGACGAATACGGAGGGTGCAGTCGCAGATCCCATTTCAGCGTTTTGATAGTGTCCTGGACGATGGAAGTGCGATGGCACGGAGCGTTGTCGCGCTGCAATATCACTCGTTCGTGTCTCGTGTCCCATTCTGAGACACGTTTTTCGAGCAATGCATGGTACAAATTGATCAATTGTTGTTGGTAGCGATGCCCATTGACAGTTTCGCCCGGTTTCAGCAGCTCATAGTACACGATTTCTTTCTGGTCCCACCAAACGCAGAGCATTACCTTCTTTCCGAAGCGATTTGGACGTGCCGTCGATGTTGATGCTTCGCCAGGTGAAAGCCACGAATTTTTGCGTTTGGGATTCTCGAAATATATCCATTTCTCATCGCCAGTAACAATTCGATGCAGGAAACTCTTTCTTTCATGTCGCAAAGGCAAAATTTCGGAAGTGGCTCTTCGATTTTCCATCTGTCTCTCAGTTAACTCATGCGGCACCCATTTTCCTTCCTTTCGAATTTTTCCCATGGTATGTAAACGTATAGAAATACCTTAGCGAATCATGTTTAATGCCGCCGCAAGTTGATCTTGTGTTTGCGTATCATCTTCATCTAATAACGCTTACAGATTGGCGTCCTCAATTGTTTTTGGTCTTCTGGAGCGCTCCTTATCCTCAGTGTCGAAATCGCCACTTCTGAAGCGTTTAAACCAATCTTCACAGGTAGTTTTCGATGGTGCATGTTCGCCGTAGGCCTCCTCAAGCAAACGACGTGCTTTAGCTGCACTTTTTTTCAAGTTAAAGTAGAAAAGCAGAGCTTCCCGCAAATGCTGTTTATTTGGCACAAAACTCGACATCTTCGTTGTTAGAAAAAATATTTTTGCGTTGCGATATGTGTTGGTATTACGACTGGTTATTGTTAACAGATGTCCAAGCTATAAAAAAACACAACTTCAGACATGTATGTCGACTACATGTATCGTTAGCGCCATCCATGTGTAAAACTCGGAAACTTAGTTGCGCACCTAGAAGGTAGGCTCGAACCTGGGCCCCGCGGTTGTTATCTGAACGCTCGAACCTTCTAAGACCATTGCTCGCCTATTGCTAGTAGACGTCACGTTTACGGGTAAGATGGCGGCCGTGACGTCATGCATATATCCAGAGAAAAACGGGCCGGTTTGTTGCTAGACTCGAACCTGGGTTCTGCGACTGCTATCGAACGCTCCAACCTCCTAGACTACTGCCTCCTATTGCTAGTAGACGTCACGTTTACGGGTAAGCGATGGCGGCCGTGACGTCACTCACATGTCCAGAGAAAAACGAGCCAGGTGTTGTTCGACTCGAACCTGGATCCTGCGGCTACTATCGAGAATGCTCCAACCTCCTAGACCACCGTCGCCTATTGCTAGTAGACGTCACGTTTACGGGTAAGATGGTGACCCTGACGTCATGCACATGTCCAGAGAGAGAAACGTGCCGGGATGTAGGTAGGGTTAAACCTGGGCCTCGCGATTACTATCGAACCTGGGCCCCGCGATTACTATCGAACGTGTCTCGAACGTGTATCGAACGTCTCGCGAATGTCTAATAATCATTATACCGCAAATAAAGAACTGTATTTTTATCAAACACAATTATCATATAAAATCCTAAGAAGTGAAAGGGGATAAGCGTGTTGGAAGAAACATCTTTTTTTTTTTGGTCACGCAGGGGAAATCCATCATGGATACCCTCGGCCCTTGGGGGAGCCGAGGGTTATGTCAGACTCCTACTGACTAAAACCCCTGCGGGATGTCTACCTGTCGGGCCGTTGGGTGGGGAGTCAGGGGAACTGCTCCCGTATTCCTTTTCCAACCCCTCGGCCCCAGAGCTCTTAGGGAGCCCCACGCCACCGTGTACCGCGCCCTGTTCCACCAAGGGAATCCAGGGCGCGGTCTCCGGCGGGTTTGTCCTGCCGGTTGGCCTTCTGGTGTCACCTAGGAGAGAGGGGACATCCACCCTCCCTCCTTATCTCCCCCCTGCTAATCAGAGAGGGGAGGATTTTGGGGGAGTGGGTCCAGCCCCAACTGGGTGTTCCGCTCCCCCCTGTCCCTACCTGTCCGATGCACGGGGAAGACCAGGGGGATCCACTCTGGGTCGGGTCCTTTCGCAGACCCACCCTATCGGGACCCCCCGGATTCCCCCCGTGTCCGGAGGCGGGCCCGAGGCGGCCGAGGAGGATCTAGCCCTCTGTCCAGAGGTCCCTCGTCCTCCTCGGCCGATGTCATCTCGGGCCTGCTACCTAGACCCCCCCCCGGAGAACGCCGACCGCTACGCCGTCTAGGGCGACGGGTCCCCGGTCGACGCTCCCACTCGGCGGTCTTCTGGGAAAAAACGTCTTTGCAGAAGGAGACCGCCGCTTCCCATACCCCCTCGCTCCCGCACATGGCCTGAACCATGCGCGGGAGCGAGATCTCCCGACACCCCACTGCCCCGGCCAGGACACGGCGCTCCACTCCCCAGGCCGGACAAGCGGCCAGAGTGTGGTGCACCGTGTCCATGCCACGGGGCAATGGTGGCACTGGGAGGTGGGCTCCTTACCGATCCGGTGCAGGCACTTGCCAAAACACCCATGGCCCGTCAGCACCTGCACCAGATGGAAGGTCATTCCACATCCCCTCCTGCCCGCCATCTGTGGCAGGCAGGGGCGAACAGCCTCGGCCGTTATG